CGCACCACGCCGCCAGCCCCGCGGCGCTGCAGGGCCAGGTATCCAGCCTGTCCCACCTGAACTCCTCGGGCTCGGACTACGGCACCATGTCCTGCTCCACGTTGCTATATGGTCGGACCTGGTGAGAGGACGCCGGGCCCGCCCTAGCCCAGCGCTCTGCCTCACCACTTCCCTCCTGCCCGCCACACAGACCACCATCCACCGCTGCTCCACGCGCTTCGACTTTTCTTAAGAACCTGGCCGCGTTTAGACCAAGGAACAAAAAACCACAAAGGCCAAACTGCTGGACGTCTTTCCTTCTTTTTTTTCCCCCTAAAATTTGTGGGTTTTTTTTTTTTTTTAAAGAAAATAAAAACAACCAAGCGCACCCAATCTCTTAAGGAATCTTTAAGCAGAGAAGGGCATAAAACAGCTTTGGGGTTGTCTTTTTTGGTGATTCAAATGGGTTTCCCACACTAGGGCGGGGCACAGATTGGAGAGGGCTCTGTGACATGGCTCTGGACTCTAAAGACCAAACTTCACTCTGGGCACACTCTGCCAGCAAAGTGGACTCACTTGTAAATACCAGGATTTTTTTTTTTTTTTTTTTTTGAGGGGAGGACGGGAGCTGGGGAGAGGAAAGAGTCTTCGACATAACCCACTTGTCACTGACACAAAGGAAGTGCCCCCTCCCCGGCACCCTCTGGCCGCCTAGGCTCAGCGGCGACCGCCCTCCGAGAAAATTGTTTATGTTTGATGTGAACTTGTAGCTGTAAAACGCTGTCAAAAGTTGGACTAAATGCCTAGTTTTTAGTAATCTGTACATTTTGCTGTAAAAAGAAAAACCACTCCCAGTTTCCAGCCCTTCACTTTTTTTTATGGGCATTGACAAATCTGTGTATATTATTTGGCAGTTTGGTATTTGCGGCGTCAGTCTTTTTCTGTTGTAACTTATGTAGATATTTGGCTTAAAAATAGTTCCTAAGAAGCTTCTAATAAATTATACAAATTAAAAAGATTCTTTTTCTGATTAAAACCCTCCTTTTTGTTTGGTTTTGATTTGGCTTTAAATGGCTTTGAGGGCGGGGGCTTGGGAGGATCTTGTGTCTGGTCTGATGAGATTCAAATTGTTTGGGTTTGAGCTCAAAGGATTCTGAACCGGGTAAGGAGGTAAGGAGGCCAGGCCGTGAGTCCTTGCCCCACAGGAAGAGGGAGTTTTGTTCTTCTTTAGAAATTGTGTGGAACCAAACCTGGAGCAGTCCTGAGACTGCAGTGGAGGACCGAAATACCAAACTACTTCCACCAAAAGGGAGAGGGAGAGAGAAAGAGAAAGAGACCAAAGAATTCATTTTCTGAGTCAGGCTTCTGTTGATAGGAGTTTCAGAAGTATCTACTGTGGTCTCACAAACTTGAGCCAAAGTTTTAAAACAGTGAGAGAGGACACCCATTTTAAATAACTCTGAGTGAGTTATGGTTTTTAGCGAATGGATCGCCTCTGTAGATTTGAACATCAAATCTTTATTTCTAATCCGTGGCTGAGTTCCTTCACAGAATTCGGTGGGAGGCTGTTTTCAAAAGTGAGGAAGTCATTCTGGGGTTTTATTTCTGCCCTAAAACAGGGATCCCTCTCGGGGACCAGCAGCAGACACCCACAGCCCCTGCTGCTTTTGGCTCCTTTGGCCTCCAATGGAGTAACACTGGGTGACAGGCCTGAGGACGTCCCAGGAAGGACTTTGTGAGCTGAGATTTCACTCTTTGTTGTACCGGTTTTTCTCTCTGGGATCCTAAATTTTTGTAGTAATGAATCTTTCTCCTGTTTGCAGTTCTTCACCTCCCAGCCACTACCTCCCATGCCAAGCAAAAAAAAAAAAAAAAAAAAAAAAAAAAAAATCATTTTTGATTCCTTCTTCCAACCTCTAATTTCCTGGTTTCCTCAGTGCTTAGGGTTTGTGTTGGGAGACCCATCAGGGATGAGAGGGAGGGGAGAAGGAATGGTTTTGAACACAGAAAAACTGTAGTCCCTGGAGGGGCTGTAGCCCCTTCCGGGTCACCCTCGCCAAATCTAGGGACGAAAGGCAGCTGAGCGAGCTGAGCGAGCTGCGGGCAGATGCCCCTCCCAATGCACTTTCCTCTAGGCCTGGAAGTATTGGATTATGGGCACTTGATTCTTATTTGGCATGTACTCACTTCTCGCCTAGATTTTCAACTTTCTTTTTCTTCCTCTCTTTCCCTCTTTCATTTCATTATGTCTGCATCTCTTCCCAATCCCTCCCTCCCGCTCCCCCACCAACAGCTTGTGAGGAAAGCAGACTGGCCGGAGTCCTCGCTCCGGTCCCAGTAGTCCTCTTTGTTGACTTCCTGGAGGCTCCTCTGGGGTGGTGCCTTAGGACTGGGGGCTAGGCCGGGCTTTCTCCCTCAGAAACCTGGGCCTCACTGCTGAGATACAGTTTCCAATATCCAGAGGGACTCGAAGATACCCAAGAGGATGGTTGGGTCTAGTGAGTGTGCTGGTTGAAAGGCGGGGAAGGGAGATTTTAGCAGGTCTCACATTTTGGAAAACAAACAAAAACCCGTAAAGTTTGACCACTTGCGTTGGAATGGTCAGCTGTGGTTCCGGGACCGGGAGTGTAGGTGGCTAAGGCACCCAGCTCAGGCCGGCCGGGAAGGGGATGTGGATACTGCAGCTGCTGTTTGGCTCTAGGTCCGGATCCCACGGAATTGGAGCTTCGCTAAACCTGCCCCAGCTTAGCCCAAGCCCGGGCGGGGACCTGGCTGGCAGTGCCCGGCTGTGGTCCAGGCGGCTGCCCCGCACCCCATTCCAACCGGGAGCAAGCCTTTGGGAGTCACAATTTTAGTAGGCTGTGGTACCTTCGGTCTTATCATCTTTGCACTGGATGGAGTTTCCAACAAGTACATTCTTCTCCTCGACGTCTAGAGTCGGCATAGTTTGAAGTCTGTTTACTTGTCCCAGGGAAAGGTGAACTCAGTTGGGTTTGGGGACCGAGACAAACAGGACCTCAGTCTCTTTCTCCCCATCAATCACGATAGCTCCATCCGCTCCCGCTCCCGGCTGGGGGACTTGTAGCAGCTGCAGGAAGAGACCTAGAACGCATTCTGAAGCTTTTCATTAGGGAAATAGGTGGCGCTGGGAGCAGTGCAAGAGGGTTCCGCAACCTGGGGACACCCTCCGCCCCTTCAGCACCGTCGGCTTCTGGAAAGCCGACCGTCCTCCTTTCCGGGAATCTCCTGCATCAACTCGTGCCCAATTTCTGGTCTCCCCTCTCGGAGAAATCGGCCTTCTGAGGATGCCCCTGGCGCTGAGGTGCTTGGAAGCTTCTGAGGTTTGGGAGCAAGTACAGTTCACCCCGAGATCACTGCGAAGCTTTGCCTCCGCCAAAGTACCCTACCAATCCCTAGGCCCCAACGGCTGCGAGGAGTGGGGGAGATTTTGCACACTGCACCCCCCCTTCCTCCTCTCCCCACCCCCACTTCGCCATGTAAACACGAGGACTTTCTCGAGAGCCTTGGAGAGCCGCTCTAGTGGCTTCGGGCCCTGAAACCCCAGACTGGGCTTGTTTGATGTTTAGCATCCCAAAGCGGCTCCCCACCCTGGCCCCAGCCTGGGAACTGGGAGCTGTGGGCAGGAGAGGAAGGAAAGCAGCTCTCTCAGCTAGCAAGGGGGTCAGGGACTGGGCCAAGCTCAGAAGAGGGGAGAAGAGCGAGACAGATACGCTCTGAGTAGGGGAGACAGGGATCCCGGGCTGTTGCGACTACCAACAAGGGCACACACTGCGGTCCTCAAGGCCAGGAGGCGGATGGGGGCAGGGAATGCCTCAGCCAACAGGGCAGCGGCTCGGCCCTGCTGCTGGCCCGGTGGGAAGTAGCCTGGGGCCCAGCGAATGAAATCCGAGTCTGGCCCGGGCAGTCTCCGCTAGAAACGCTCTGGGCGCGCACTCCTGGAGACACGGATGCCCCGGGCGCTCCAGACCAGTGTCCTTGTAGGAGGCTTCTTCCCGAAGCTTAGAGTTTGGCCTTTCATAGGGAAAGACTTGCTCGTGAGCCTTCTAAGGAATTTTAAATCTTCCTGGGCCAGGGCTGGGAGCGAGCTCTAGTGACAGTGTCTTGGTCTGGCATCCAACTCTCCAATTTTGAGGCCGCAGGGAGGAATTCTCAGACTTTAGAGGCCGCACAGCCTTCAGCGCGCTCACCGCGTCCAGGCGTCAGTGAGGGGCTATCTCGAGGCGCGAGTGCACAAAAGGTAGCGCGAATCTCTTCTCAGGCGATCCAGATAAGAGGAAATGAGAGCGGGGTTTTCTGACTTCCAGCTCATTAGGGACCAGGTAAGGTCAATGCTTTCTCTATTATGTCTTTATCTTAAAAGCGGGTCAATTTAAGATAAGGGAAAAAAAATCCAGGATCTGTGTGAACCGTGCTGATAAAGACTGACCCCTTTTCTGAACTAAAAGCAAGCCAGGCAGACATTCATTTTCTATAAACAAGAGAGTTGTTAGAAGCTGCCTTGAATTCTGATCGTATGTCTCCAGACATCGCTTTCCCTTCCCTGCTCCCCACCCCCCAATTATTAGCGCGAGGAAGCGGAGTAGACGATTTTATTTGTGGAGAACTAGGAAGCCCATTGGGAGATGAGAATCTGAGATGATATGGTTCTTAGGCATGGGCTACTGGCTTGTTTAGTTCAACTAGGACTTTCTTTTCGAATGGAAGGAAACTGACAGACACGGGTATTGGGAGGGAGGAGGCTGAATGTTTTCTCTGCTGTTAGATTCTGGTTAGGAGACGCTGGACACCATGTTCCTCTGGCTCTCCCTGCCTTCCTGACTGGCGCGTTCCTCCTCGTGCAGTTGTGTTTCTGAGACTTCAGGCCACCCTCTGTGGGGCCCAGTTTAGTAGCTTACCTCAACTTGGAGCACAGGAAAGTTTTCTGGTGCCCCTTCGGCCAGTTGCTCCTAGAAGGAGTCTTATTTTCAGTCACCCTCTCTGGAAAGTTTGTCCACCCAAGCTGAGGGAATTGGATATGGATGGGAGTAGATGAAAGTAAGTTTTACTGAAGGGGGTCTGCATGTGCCCTTATCCTCACCTCATGTAGTTGTGTTTCTGAACTTTCTTTAATGAATCTCAAAGGAATGGAGAAAGAGCAGACTCAGCAACTTGGCAGCACAGCTCTTGCCTCAGCTGAAGCCATAGCTGAAGTGGCTGGCTGTATTTCTCTCTGATAGTGACCTAATGCCCAACTTGGTGGGCATCGAGGCATGATCCTGGGCTCCTGTGCCTCTCCTCGTTTGATAATGTTTCCCGTTTGACGTCTGCTACCTAAGCATTTATTACCCTTGTTGTTATGAGTTGTAGCCAAGTTTTGGAAAGGGTTAGATTTAAATCCATTTTGCTGTTTTATCTATTTTTGTTATTTGTAGGACACTTCAACATAAATTGATCACTGTTAGTGTTCTGCCTGAAATATAAATAAAACATAACATAAATGTGGCAGGCAAAAGCACTTGTTAAAGAAAACTCTTGCCTCCCACATAAAATCCACATCTGATTCTGCTTACTGTGTAAGTGATTGCACACAGATTTCTATGTATTTATATATATGTGTGTATAGAGGTATATATACATATGTATCTATCTTATACACACGTATATATAAATATCGATATATCTTACACACACATATTTATTTTATAAGACATTCAAAACGAAAAATTGTAGTATAGAATTCTCAGAGATTTTACAGAACCCGTTAGATGCAAGAACATTGAATAAATTCACTACCTCAATTAAGGTGTCTCATTAGTTTCCCTGAAAAATTCAAATAGACCAAAACCTTTTAGTTTTACCCACTTTAAGTTAGAATATTTATTTATTGTCATGTGAAACTCTGGATAACTAATTATGTTTTAGGAAATATTAAAATTTTTTCCTAAAGAATTTGAACTTGGTGTCTGAGACACAGCTGTGGATAAGACTTCTTGAGGCATTCTATAACAAAAAAAATATTGTCCCTTGCTGAACTTATCCACCTATAAAAATCATTGGTATAAATACTACTGCCCTGGGGCAACAACAGCAACAAACAAATGAAAACTGTTTCTGCTCTGCACTGGTTGCAAACGTCTTCTTGATTTCAGCCTTTAAGCCTTCACATAGTAGTGGAAATAAGAATGCAGGTCTGAGTGTTGTCTGACAGCAAGGAAAAAGGCAAACTTTTTTTCCTCTCTCTTTTCCCCTCTATTTCACACATTTCCAGAGAATCCGGTCTTTGATTGTTAGACCTTGCTGTTAGTAACAGCAGGCTGTTGGTGGAGTGTTAAACATTCTATTTCTAGAGTATTGGTGATTGCTGATCATTCATTTCTATAAAATCAGAGATATCAGGCCACGAAGTATCTTTGGATATCCTTCCCCTGTCCCTGTGCTCTGGATCCAGTCTATGGTAAACGACCCACAACAGGTTGGCCTCTACCTTGCCTGTATTCTCCCTCCTAATACTACTGCTCTAAAGGTCCAAAGCTCTAGGAAAACAAGACTTTATTTGGCTCGCGTGCTACTGATTTACCTGATCTCTCCAGCACACACGGGGCTGAGTGCGCGCGCGCAGAAGTAAACCTGGGAATTACCGTAATGACACGAAGAGGACCGAGAGCTAGTTCCTTTGAGCTGACTGCACGCTCTGCCATAAACCTGGAGACTCAGTCAGTGTCTAAGAAACTGGATATACCTATGTGTAAAGCGAACCTCGCAAAGTTATGGTCCCAACAGAGGCTTCCAGAGCATTAGGTCTCTGAAGAGACTTGCAGCGACAGACTTTTCTAGAGGAGACTCAAGCGCAGAGGATTAAATCTCTCTCTCTGCCTGGCCACTTGATGGTGCCTCAAGGTCTGCAAGACCTGGGTTGCGACTAAGGGCCTGGGGGGCTGTGCAGTGACAGCTTCTTCCTTCCCTTCTGATTCTACTTCAGAAAGAATTGCAACTCTCAAACCACCGTGGTGCACACAGCACACATTCCTACCGCAAGCCACAGCAAACAGAAGTTGTAGCTAGTTCATTACTACCCACTGACCCGGCAGTATTAACTGAAATGTTGATTACTGCTCCCTGGCAGTACTGTTCCCTGGCAGGACTCCTGAGCCTGGGCCTGGGTGCAGTAAACTTTGGAAGTGCTGCGTTGTATCATACCTACAACTCACACAATAGAAAAAGCTCAGACATCTCTCTACACATCTACATAGTCCATTTACTTCATACTGAAATCAAACAGAAAAACTTTTTAGAAGTATTTAACAAAAAGCCAACCGACTTATGGCCATCATTTAGCACTGGGTGGGGGTAAAGAGAAAGAGAAACCCTTTGAGATATATGGTAGCATGCAAACATGTTCACATTAACCTTCCTGTATTAACCATTTTCTATCAATTACAATGCCACATCAACACAATTAGTTGTTGAAAATTCTCAACATGGCTAAATACTTAGATTGCATTGGTGGTGCGCCTGTGAAAGCTAGTTGGGGGTTGTGTATGTGGTTCTGCTCATTGGAAAGACAGAAGAGAGAAAGGGGGCTGGAAAGGGGACTGGGAGAAAAGAGAAACAACTGTTCCTGGTGAAAGTGTGTGGGCTTCTGACGGAGGCTGGGGCAGCTGAGAAGTGCTGGTTATATATAGCTAGGTCAAAGTGATGGGGAGGTGGGGGTGATGGTGGATGACTGTGTATATACTGTGCCTGTGGTGTTTAGAGGGTGATCCTAGAGGGAAGGGCCTGGGAGACGGCTGGGAGGTGGTGTGTGTACCATGTCTGAGCTTTGGGCCGGTAACACAATGGCAATGTAATTATCTGGCTGAAACACGCTCAAATGGCAAAAAGTTGCAAAATAGATCGACCTCCCAGAGAAGAGACAGAGCTGGTTACAGAGGTCTGCAGCCATCATCCTTTTTTCAATACATTTTAAACAAGAGGATCTAGCTAGTGATTCTGATTCAATACACATAATCAGTTTGCAAGTCTTATTTCCATTTGAAAACAGGGCCATTTGCAATCATAAGAGCCGGACACGCTGAAAGATACCGAGCGCATTCCGAGCAGATGATGGGTGACAGAATCTGTAGGCAAGCACTAAATATTTTCTTCCAGCTTCAGACCTTGGGCATCAGTCTTCGGTTCCGAAGTATTTTAAACGGAATATTCCTGTTGAATATATAATTGCTTAGAAAATGGAGACTCCATGGTTGGGAGGAAAAAACCGGTAAGAAAGGTGACAGAGGAACCTTGTTGATTGTGCTTCTCCTCGGTACTGGTTAACAGTCATTTAATGAAGAGTCTATCCATTGGGTAGAAAACTTGATGGAAAAATTGAATTGGTTTTTAAGGGAATGGCCGCCAGAAGGGGTTGCCGGGGTTAACATTCTCAGGCTGGAGCTGCGAATCCCTGGCTGGGTGTGGCCGGGACTGGCAGGGAGTCTGCGGGGCCTTCAGGGAAGCCCAGGGACAACTCTGCCACCTCCCAACGACGCCGCCAAAGACCTGGGGGCCCCTCGCGGCCCGGCTGTTCCAAATGGGTTGCCAAGTGTCTAAACTAGAAGTGTGGGCACTTGAAATCGCGAGCTGTCTTAGGGTCTCTCGCTGCGAAAGTTTGATTTCCAGGACCAAGAGAAGCAGCTGTCCCAGGCGCTTAGTTTCCTGCCCCGCAGCCTCATCCTCCCCGAACCCCCCACCTCTCAGTCTCCCCAGTCCCAGTCCTTACCCCGCCCACCCGCGGCCTCTCTCCAGACACCCAGCCGGCAGCCTGGCT